GGGGCATGTATCCAAATAATTGATCTGCCGGTGCCACTCCCAGCTTATAGGCTTAATGGAACATTATGAACCCATACATAGACTTTGGGATTTTCCAGGTTTTAGGATAACTCGCCCTCTCTCCTCCTCCCTCCCTCCTCTGCATGCATGGATAATAGAGAATACAAACTGTCATTTACGCTCAATATCTCAAATTGCCCTTAGTGTTGAAATGCTCATGATCATAAACCATTTTCAGTCTCATCAGTGGTAAGCAGAAGAATGACGTGTTGTTCAGTTCATACTATTTATCATTTGGAGCCCTGATGGCTTAGTGGTTAGGACGTAGGCTTCGATCCGCAGGGTCAGCGGTTTGAAAGCACCAGCTGCTCCGAGGGAGGGAGACGGGGCTTTCTACGCACATAAACAGTTACGGTCTTGGAAACCCACAGGGTGGTCGCTATGAGTCATGACTGAGTCAACATCGACTTGATGGCAGTGAATATTTAGCATTTGACCATTATTCTGTCCCATGGCTTTGTTGCAGAACGTTGTAGAATGGCTTATCTGGGCAAAAACTCAAGACTGTTTCATGGATGTGATTGTCAAGAAACCCCCTGAGGTCCTTGAACTGGAAAAGTGGACCCCCTTACTGACTAGACTGCTGATGTTGCATAAGCATTGCCTTACTAACTTCGAGAGAAAGATGAGGCTATAAGGTTTACAATCTCCACAATCCTATACAGAGTCACTATGAGTGGGAGCTGGGCCCAAGGCAGTGGGTTTGGTTTGGTTTTTTTCTCAACTCGCTGGTAGGGCTAGGCAGATCCCTAGAAATCTAATAGTAGCCCTCCTTTAGGGATGCTTCACTCAACACCCTGCCAGAGGGTTGTCTCTGATTCCTTGTGACCCTAGAGGACAGGGTAGAACTGCCCCTGTGAGTTTCTGAGACTGTCGACTCTTGACGGGAATAGAAAGCCTCAAACTTCTCCCACGGAGCAGCTGGTGGTTTCCAACAGCTGGCCTGGCTGTTAGCAGCTGGACGCGTAGGGCTCCAGTTAGGTCCGTTTAGGGCTTTAGAAAATAAACTCAGGGCACAATGATGAAGAGCTTGGCCGCTAACCAAAAGGTTGGTAGTGTGACCCCACCAACGGCTCCTCAAGAGGAACGACTGAGTGACCTGCGT